GGCGGGGGGGTGCCCCCGCCCCCCCCCGCCTACCCCCCCACCCGCTCGCCAGCTGCCCAGAGATTGCGTCCCCAGCGGGGGCACATTAGAAATGCTTAAGCAAATTAGCCATAAATAGAAAACGCAACATATGGGGCTGCAGATAATGTTTCATTATAAATTATCGTGTTCCCCAGGGAGATACGCCTCTTCCCTTCACACCAAGTGCTTTGCATTTCTTCCTCTGAGCACATTGGGGCTTTTTTCTTTTTCTTGGCAACTCTTTCTGACGATGCTTGGACGCAGTAGCTGATTCTCCAGGCGTGGAATCTGGGATGTGAAGCCACTTCCAACTGTGGAGCCTCTCGCAGCTCCCGTCTTCCCTTAGGGAATGCGGCTCTGTGCCAGCCCGGCCCCTGCCCGCGGCTCCCCGCGGGGCCCAACGACCGATCCCCGGGAAGGCGCGTGCCGGAGGATCCCAGCGGTTCTCCCGGAGCAGCTGTGGGTTCCACAGTGTCCTGCGATGCTGGAGGGCTCTGCACGCACCCGGCCAGGCGGCTTTGCCGGAGCGGGGCTTACGGCACCGCAGCAGCCTCCTTGGCGCCTCGCTGGGCAAGCTGCAGGTGCAGGAGGACAAGTACTGGGGCTGGCTGCAACCTCTGGGCTTGGCCGCAGGGATGAGCAACCCCGCATTGGCCGCTCGGAGCCCTCGGCACGCAGGCAACGAGCAGCGAAAGGCAAAATCCGTCAGCCACGAGAGCTCTCCATGAATTATTCATCCCAGCCCAAGCAGCATTAACATTCCAAGCGCTGGCTTAATATTAAACAAACAGCACAGATGTGGCAGGAATTCAGATCCTTGTAGCTCTGCCTTGGGTGCCCGGCGTACGGCAGGGTACCGCGGCTCTAATGAAGCGCTCGCAGTGTAAATACTGCGTGCATCCAGGAGAGAAGTGTGTGTACATATTGCGCTCCTAAGCAAAGCAAACATATTACGCCGTTTCTTCGGGCCTTTCATTTCACATGTCATTTTTTCTATATAAGTATAGGTTTACATGAGAGGTAATTATCATCCTTTCAGAGCTCCTAGTTCAGAGTAAAATGAGACGGAGTATTATATTTGTAATATAATCCTAAATAGAAGGGGCCATAATAACCCCCAATTAGCACATTAAAATATGTTGCAGATGTGTTTTATCGCGCTGCTGTAAACAGCAGCGCCAGTAACACCTGACGCCGTCAAAGCAGCACCGCTTCTTCGCCTCCAAGGACAGACACCCGCGGCCTGCGAAGCTCTGCCGCTTTTATCACCGTGTTTGCACTGAGCGTGTCCTTAGAGCTCCGCTCGCTTTCCTGCTTCCCGAGACCCTCCTCCCTCGCTGCGGAGCGCGGCCCCGAGCAGGCGGCAGCGCCGACGCGGGGCAGGACCACGCTCGGTGCTCCGCGCTCGGTGCCGCGGGCGCCGCTCGCTCGCAGGCAGCGCTCCGAGATGCTCTGCTAGAAACACCCTAATGAAAACGCGGTTAGACGTTAACTATCCCGCTATTTATAAGTGTATACATAATTAAGAGAAATAATTTATGTAGCAAGGATTGGTGAAGAACTTCCTCTAAATATTTGAATAATGAGACATAATGATGTTTTGCCGCGAGAATGTCAGGGGTGAAGCGTTTGCCCGTGTCTCGGTGAGGGCGGCTGCAGGGAGCTGGGTGCGCGTGAGCTCGGCCCGGAGCGTCTCCGTGGCTGCACCGGAGCCTCGGGGGCGGCCTCGCGCCCGGCCGCGTCCTGTCCCAAATGGGATCCTGCCTCCGGAGGCTCTTGGTGGCCGCGATGTGTCACTGTGTTCCGGGGAGAGGCAGCCGTGGGCCTGCTGCCCTGCCAGGGTGCTCCCATTCCGGCCCGCTGGCATCGCTCACGTGGATGACGCTGGCATCACAGCCCGAGCTCTGCCGTGCCAGGATGCATTGGGAAAGGCTGCAAAATAGGAACCCAGCCAACAAACCCAACCCACGCTGACGACATGGCCCCAGGAACACCCTAATGATCCATCACTTGCTGCAGCAGGAGCCCTTGGGGTCACTTAGTGCAAGGGCAGTGCCTCAGAGCGCGTTGTTCAGGGAAGCTTGGAAACCCTGTGCTCATTTCTTTGCTTGCACAAATAACTCCAGCAGACCCAGCTGGACGGGAAAGCAATTTCTCAAGGGCATTTGTGGATTTTATCAATTGCACATTTGATTTCTCAGGCTCGGAAGTTAATTAGCACACATTACATCCCTTAGAAATGGCACCAGGCCTCAGAGGAAGCCCCTGCGCAGAAGGCAGAGGCGGGTGCAGGTCATTGCGGATGTGTTTGCAGAGCTGCTTTCACAGCCCCCCGGCTGCCCCGGCACCGCGGGCCGGCAGCCCCGGAGCTGCTCCGGAGCCGCACATCGCGTTATTGACCAGATAGATGCTGCTTTAATCTCCCCGGAAATGCACATTAAAGGAATTTTAAAACCGGGATTATCTCCTTAAGTAGTCCTTAATGATTCCTTCCCAGATGCTACAGTGCTTATGTAAATGCTGGGAGCAAATACTCACCAGAGACTCCGTGTGCTCCCCTAAGGGTTGGAGCAGCCCTGTCATGGTGCTGCACAGGCTCCTGCCGCCGGTGACCACGCACTGCCGCCTCGCTCGCTCCTGCTCCTGCTCCTGCTCCTGCTCCCTAGGCTTGGCTTTGGAGAGAGAAATCCCACCGAGCACAAAGTGCTGTATTTGCTTAGACCTTAGCTGATTTTTTCTGTGAATCCTGTAATTTCAATTGGAATAAAACATTTTATTCTCCCAATCAACAGGGCAGTGCAGGGAAAGGTGGTGAAAGCTGGAGGTCCTCCCAGGAGACCCAAGGGCTGGGCCTGCATGCTCAGGCTTTTCCCAAAACTGCGCCTTTCCAGCACGCACTGACCTGCGGCGCCTGCGGCTCCCTGTGTCCTGGGCCCGTCCGGTTGGATTTACCCGCAATCCCCTTGGAATCGCTGCAGCGACTTGTTGCCTCCAGGAGGGAGCCACAGAGAGCACCGTGCCCGGCCAGAACGAGCTCAGTGCCACCCTCAGGGCCACCCTGCCCGCACCGCCTGGGTCACCTCGCCCAGTCCCTCCCCACGGGCCTCCTCAGCTCGCCACGATTCACGGATGCTCCATATTCCCCATCCGCTGTGTGCAAGACACAGCTGGGGTCCCGCCGCGGCTCCTCTCCCAAGCCAGCGCTGTTGTGTGCTGATGGTTACTACCTCGCCCTGGAGAAAGCAGGGATTCGCTCTTCAAAATAGCGTGTTGATTGATGCTTTAAATATCTCCAGTAATTACTTTGCCCTGGCATAATTGCGATAGTTACACTCGGATAGTGCTTAGTCCTCCTTTTTCGCAGAGCGGCGTGCTGCGGCAGCGCCCGCCCGGCCTTGGCGTCCAGGCCCTGGACGGGGCCGGGGCCGGGGCCGGAGCTGGGGCTGGAGCCGGCGCTGGAATCGGAGCGCGTTGGGAGCAGCACCAGGAGCAGCGCCGGGAGCAGCGGCACCGCAGCGGGTTGCAGCGCGGCGGCTGCCGGTGGCTTCGGCGGCCACCCGCGGAAAGCCTCCGCCTCCATTTCAACTCCCTTTGCATACAATAAATACCAGCTTAATATGCATCCGCTCACGGTAAAACCTATTTTTATGTAAAACATGCAACTAGGTTAAGCAATTCTATAACGCTGCTTATCTTCCCGCAGAGCTGTTTGTTTAAAACATCATTAGAGATGTTTAATTAGCTCGGTAACCGTCCTATTAACTTCCAGTGGTTTCTCTCCTGCGAGTGCATCACCACTGCCCGAAAGGGCCCTCGGCCCCTGGTGTCCAGTGCGTTTCCACCCACAGCCGCGACCCCAGGCAAACCATGATCCTGTCCCCATGCAAACCATGATCACAACCACAACCCTGTGCAAACCATGACCATGACCACGTCCCCATGCAAACCATGACCATGACCATGTCCCCATGCAAACCATGATCACAACCACAACCCCGTGCAAACCGTGACCATGACCATGTCCCCATGCAAACCATGATCACAACCATGACCATGACCCCATGCAAACCATGATCACAACCACAACCACTTCCCCATGTAAACCATGACCACAACCACAACCCCGTGCAAACCGTGACCATGACCATGTCCCCATGCAAACCGTGACCACAACCACAACCACGACCCCATGGAAAGCACAACCACGATCACGACCCCATGGAAAGCTCAAGCATGCACCTGCCTGCAGAGCACAACCCCAACCTCAACCCGTGCAACACGATGGTGCGTGGCAGGAAAGCAGGTGGCTGCGACCTCTCCACGAGGGCCCTGCACGCAGGAACCGCCAGGCAAAACTCCCTCTCGTTGTTCTCATATTGTTTTAATAGCAACATCAGAGTACTAAATATACACAGGGAGATCGGTACAGGGTCGCATTTACAGTGCTTTCCAAGTACACAGCTTTAAAGTACAGAGACAAATTAAAAATCACTCTGGAGTAAAGCAGTTCCCCTGCAAGGACTCGGGGCCAGTCGACTCCCGCCCCGTCCCGTGGAGGGCTCGGAAGGGGAGCGGGACGGACGGGACACGTCAGTGCACCGGGGCCTGCGGCGCCGCGGGGCCCAGCGGGACGCCCAGGAAAGCAGAGCCGAGCTCGGTGTCGTGGAACCGCTCACCAAGAAAAACTGTCTTAGGTTAGAAAATGGTTTTTGGCAAAATAAAAATAAATTGTAAACTTCACTGTACATGTCCTATCAAACAAAAAAATACCCCCCTCGGAACCTAAAATAGAAGAATCTGGGTCAGAAATCTGTGCCTTAGTGTACGGGTTGTGCAACAGACACGTCTTCTCCAAGGAAATATTAGCTCCACTCATGACACTATTAAAAACGCACCTACAAATGCTGAGGGTTCCTAGAAAGTGAGAGGAGGGAGGGCAGAGCCGGCGGCAGCGGCCCGGCCTCGCTGGGGAGGGTCCAGCCACTCGGCCACACACGGGTGGGCTCAGTTACCGTACACGTATTTTTATCTATTTTTGTTTTTTTACAAAATATATAATATGTGTAGAATATCTACTATGAACTACCGTTTTAGCTGAACTACCTTCTGTCCTGACAAGCTGCCCGTGGGGAGGAGGTAACCTGAAGTCTCTCTCTGCACGCGGCGCCGCTCGCGGGGCCGGGCCCTGCTGCCCGTCTCTCCGGCCGGGAAGACAGAGCGGAGGCCAACGGAGACCCGGGCGGCTCCCGGCGTCCTGCCCTGGGGCTGCTCCACGTGGGAATGGCGGCAGCGGGGAAGGCGAGGGCCAGCGTGGCTCGCGGGAAAGGGCCAACGTCACCTCCCTGGCGAGCTGCCCGCTCCCGCACCAAGCGAAACGGAGGGGAGAGGGCCCTGCTTTTGAGGAGACGGCCCCCGCGGATGTGGGTTTGCAAAAGCCTGCGCCTGCCA